CTTCTTCTTATTGGCATCAGGCGCTGGTGATGGCGATGGGACGGGTGAACCATCATGATCATCCCCATTATCATCTCCCCCCACCAGGTCCTCCATTGTTGTTACCACCTGAGTTATTGCCATCATTGGGACCTTTACTAGGCTTTCGACCAGAACCCTCATATGGTACAGTACGACCAGACATTGGGGTATGATCTCCCGAGGCACTGTCCAGGGGAACACCATGGGAAGGGCCTGCAACAGGTCCATTCTCTGCCCTCTTACAGTACGTTATGTTGATTCCACCTACCGGGACTCGGCCAGTGACCATATCCTCGGCTTCTCCATCCGTGTTGCTGGCATATGGGCCGGATAGCATTGGCGGAGGAGCATATGGTGGAGCTACTGTTTCGGCATTGAAAAGACCATCGGGCGGATGCACGGATGCAATCGGAGGATCAACTGTACACGCCGGAATCGGGGCTGAGATGACAAACGGTTCCGCCGTCCTCGTCAAAGGTGCGGTTTCCACAACTTGGACAGGAGGTGGCTGCGACAGCTGGGAGTCCAACATACTCTGGAGCTTTTGGTTGTGAAGACTCTGTTGCATCACGAGCTCTTCGAGCCCTTTGATGCGTTCTTCCTGTACTCGCTCCTTTTCAGCGGCCTGACTCCGGAGGCGTTCAATCTCGCTCTCCTTCGTGGCCATCGATTGACGGAGATTGGCATCCAAAATTCTTTGGTATGCCTGAACCTTTTCTGTACACTGAGCCTTATGGGTACGGACATGCTGAACGGCCTCACTTTTGATGTTCTCCTCATTCTCCCTCAGAAACATCCTTGCCTGATTGATCTCTTGGGCTTCACGAATTTGAAGTGCTTCCTTCAGACTTCCAGTTAAAGCTTCGTGACGGTGATTGGCCTGAGCTTCCGCTTCGGCTATTGCCATGCGATGACGCAATTCGGCTGTCTGCGCAAGCATTTCCGTGTATGCTGGGTCATGAGTCTGAATGAGTACCTTGTTGTTCTGCACAAAGTGTTGCTGATCAATAATAACACGTTGGTCGTGGTTTACATTCATTTGATTGAACACTCTCCTTCCAGAACTTCCAGTACTATGAACGTTCGGCCCACCCTCCCGGGCAGCGGCTGGCAAAACACCTCGATGCGAAAATCCTGAATTCTGTGGCATCATCGCGACAGCTTCAGTAAGAGGCGTCCCACCTGCTCGCTGACTCCTTGACCTTTCGGAGCTTGGAGGGGTACTGATATCGATAGTTTCGGGGGAGTCGACGGTAGGTAGCAAAGGGTTGGCCATGGCACAAACTACACGGCAAGGAGAATCCCTACAAGCTCAAGGTGGAAGCGATACTAAGAGCAGAACACTACCTATAGGGGAAAACTAGGCTATACGGCTGATAACCTGTATTTAGAAGCTATGCAGCCACAAACACTCAGCTTTTTCTTGAGCCATGCGGTAGCAATCATAAAACATAACATAGACCCGGGCAAGCCGGCGGCGGAAGTTTCCCAAACATAAATGACCTATAGTTCAAAGACACCCTGTCCCGACCGTGTCCTTCCCTCGACACTCCACACCTCACACTGCACACTGCACTCTTCGCACTCCAAACTTCAAACTTCACACTCCACACTTCACACTCCACACTTCTCACTTCTCACTGCTTCCTTCACACTCCAAACCTCACCCTTCACACTTCACACTTCACACTGCACACTTCACACTTCACAGTCCACACTTCACACTTCACACTTCACAGTCCACACTTCACACTTCACAGTCCACACTTCTCACTTCGCACTTCACACTTCACACTTCACACTCCACATTTCACACTTCTCACTTCTCACTGCTTCCTTCACACTCCAAACTTCACACTTCACACTTCTCACTTCGCACTTCACACTCCTCACTTCACACTTCCCCACACTCTCACTTCTCACTGCTTCCTTCACACTCCAAACTTCACACTTCACACTTCTCACTTCGCACTTCACACTCCACACTTCACACTCCACACTTCACACTTCTCACTTCTCACTGCTTCCTTCCGACTCCAAACTTCACACTCCAAACTTCACACTTCACACTTCTCACTTCGCACTTCACACTCCACACTTCACTCACACACTTCACAGTCCACACTTCACACTTTCACTGCTTCCTTCACACTCCAAACCTCACACTTCACACTTCACACTTCACACTTCACACTGCGCTCTTCGCACTCCACACTGCACAGTCCACACTTCACACTTCTCACTTCACACTTCTCACTTCTCACTGCTTCCTTCACACTCCAAACTTCACACTTCTCACTTGATTTGCAACTTCTCACTTCGCATTTCACACTCCACACTTCACACTTCTCACTTCTCACTGCTTCCTTCCCACTCCAAACTTCACACTCCAAACTTCACACTTCTCACTTCGCACTTCACACTCCCCACTTCACTCACACTTCACACTTCACAGTCCACACTTCACACTTCTCACTGCTTCCTTCACACTCCAAACCTCACACTTCACACTTCACACTGCGCTCTTCGCACTCCAAACTGAAACTTCACACTCCACACTTCACACTTCTCATTTCCCACTGCTTCCTTCACACTTCACACTTCACACTGCACTCTTCCCGCCCCACACTTCACACTGCTCTAAACGTACGTCCAACAAAAAAACACTAGTGCCAAAATGGAGAAAATCTGCTAACAAACCCATTTCGCAGCCTTCATGCAGCCACTCCAAGACGATTTCCGAGATCCAGCTGCAAAAGACAATAGTATTACGAGTGCAGCCACAGCACGAAGCAACCTTGACGCAGCCATTATACAATGCGATCTGCAGAGATTGAGTTCCAAAACACAATAGAACTACGCGCAACGGCGTCGGAAATTGTAGCTCCAAAACCGGATCTCGACGCCAGAGCGAAAAAAAAGACGATTTTGAAGCACTTTTTAAAAGGATTTTTAGAAGGAAAATCACTAGCACCAAAATGGAGAAAATCTGCTGACAAATCACTGTGGCAGCCTTCATGCAGCCACTCCAGTACGAGATCCAGCTGCAAAAGACAATAGTATTACCAATGCAGCCACAGCACGCAGCAACCTTGACGCAGCCATTTACACTGCGGGAACGATCCTACAGTTGCAAAGCACAATGGAATTCCATCGGCAACTCATCCACCAGCACCACTTGCAATCCCATTTACAGTGAGGGAACGATCCTAGAGTTGCAAATCACAATGGAATTCCATCGGCACCTCATCCACCAGCACCACTTGCAACCCCATTTACAATGCGGGAACGATCCTACAGTTGCAAATCACAATGGAATTCTGTCGACCACACATGCACGAAACACAGGTGACACCCCATTTACAATGCGGAACCGATCCGAGCATGATCCGACCATGATCCGAGACCGATCCGACCATGATCCGACCACACACGAGACCGTCTCGCAACCGTCGCACCGCAGAGGTAGATCATCGAGGTTCGGGGACGGACTTTGTATGGAAAAACATAGGATTTCGTGCATCTGCTATCTCTCAAAAACGCATTTCGTGCGAGACTTCCTTCAAAACTCCATCGGCAACTCCTCCACCAGCACCACTTGCAATCCCATTTACAGTGAGGGAACGATCCTGGAGTTGCAAATCACAATGGAATTCCATCGGCAACTCATCCACCAGCACCACTTGCAACATCTCGCAACCCCATTTACAATGCGGGAACGATCCTATACAGTTGCAAATCACAATGGAATTCTGTCGACCGCGCATGCACGAAAAACACTTGAAACCCCATTTACAATGCGGAACCGATCCGACCATGATCCGAGACCGATCCGACCATGATCCGACCATGATCCGACCACACACGAGACCTTCTCGCACCCGTCGCACCGCAGAGGTAGATCATCGAGGTTCGGGGACGGACTTTGTATGGAAAAACATAGGCTTTCGTGCATCTGCTATCTCTCAAAAACGCATTTCGTGCGAGACTTCCTCCAAAACTCCATCGGCAACTCCTCCACCAGCACCACTTGCAATCCCATTTACAGTGAGGGAACAGTTTCTTTGCTAACTCTTTCCCTCACTAACTCTTTCTTTGACTAACTCTTTCCCTGACTAACTTGTTTCTTTGCTAACTCTTTCTTTGACTAACTCTTTCCCTCACTAACTCTTTCTTTGACTAACTCTTTCCCTCACTAACTATTTCTTTGACTAACTCTTTCCCTCACTAACTCTTTCTTTGACTAACTCTTTCCCTGACTAACTGTTTCTTTGCTAACTCTTTCTTTGACTAACTCTTTCCCTCACTAACTCTTTCTTTGACTAACTCTTTCCCTCACTAACTCTTTCCCTGACGAACTCTTTCTTTGCTAACTCTTTCTTTGACTAACTCTTTCCCTGACATTCTAAAAGTCCGTAACACGGAAGTTTCTCCCCCTAAACTTCCTTTGATTACTATATACATATACTAGGAATTACTAGGACTACTATAAAATAAAAATCAACCCATTTTCCTACCAAGGGTTGCCAAGTTCAGGATTGCTTTGCTAGGTGCAACTTGGGGTGAGAACTACGGTTCTAAAATGACTACGAATGAGGTCTGCGTCACAGTGTGTTCGGGTAACGTCTGGCAACATGTACAAAAGATCCATGTGCCAAACTGGTTTCCAACGGTTTCAGACTGGTTTCGGCTGGTTTCCCATCATCTTTTCTGGGGTCTCTGCTTCAAGCACCGTGAATCTTGGGTGATCTTTGGAGGAATATGTGATGAGGGGCCACCAGTTTTGGACGTGTTGATTTTCACATTTTGAATCTACGGGTCTTGCGGATCCTGACAAGCAAACTTCAGAAAGTCTTGGGTTTGAGCTGCCAGCCCACCAAAGTTGTCATATCCAAAACAAAACTTCCAAATCTCTGGAGAGAGCCATGGGTTGTCAGATTTCAGCAGGATGATTTGGGTCTCTGCCATCCCCCTTTGTCCTGCAGATCTTTGACCTTGGTGAAAAATGTTGAAACATGTTGGAAAATACTACCCCCCAAGAGGCCTAAGAAAAGAAACTGAACAGATTGAACACCTTCATTCGCCAAACAGGCCTCACCAGGTGGCAACTGAGCTCGGACCCGCGCCTGGGAACCGTCAGCTTCCGCGGCGGCCAGGTCTGCAAGGGTCTGACTGTTTCGCGCCTGGATCAACATGTGCCCTTGACACCCACTATACCCACTGTTTCTATCTGTTTGTTTATCTGTTGTTTATCTGTTGTTTATCGGTTTTTTTATCTGTTTGTATCTGTGTCTTATCTGGTTTTATCTGTTGTTATTTGTTTCTATATGGTTTTATCTGTTTTTTATCTGTCGTTTATCTGTTTGTTTATCTGTTTCTTGGGTTACCCTTGATGACATCTGACCATCGAAATCTACCCCTTGACCCACGTGTTGTTGGGTGCCTTTGGGGAGCATTTTTTGATGCCTGCCAACATAAGCCTTCCAGCCTTCCATTTTTCTTGGGCCGACACAGGCCTGGGTGTCCCCCCAAAATTGCGACCCCAATGGGGGGCGCCTCAACTTCCGCGAGCCGCTTCTCGCAAAATGAAACCTGCACCAAGCTGCCAGGAACCATCTCAGTTTAAGATCCTGGTGGCTCAAGAATGGGATACCAAAGGACCCAGGCATGTTGGTCAGCTCATGTCAACTCTAGTATTTAACATGATTTAAGCATCCACTTTTTTCACGCCCATAAGCCCGAGCCAGTACCAAATCTCATGGAACCATTGTATCCTTTTTTTGTAGCTGCCCTGACCTCCACATCCAAAGGTGAGGATGGCTGGGCCCTTATTATAAGGGGGCTATCGATGGATCCAGAAACTTGGTCTTGATCCATACCCCCAGATTTCCCCAACGAGGTCCATAATCCGTTTTCCCCAACAGAATTTGAATGAGGGCATACCGTGCACCATCTTGTGCAGCAATTTAGCTGCTGCAAAACGCTGGGGCTTTCTGAAGCCTGGTCTTCGGCTTTAGCCAACGCTTGCTGAAGGTCTTGCACCAGAGCCTCGCTAAGTTCCTGCGGTGGATGAACCTTTCTAAATCGAGAGAACAAGATGAAGCCCACGAACCCGAATGCTCACACGTATGTTAATGGTACAGATGTCAAAACACATGGATATGCAGTCACGCACAACACTTTTCTGCAATAGTTTATTTGAACTGTCTTGTACATATTTCCCCTGTTACCAGTCTGCAGTGTGGAGTGTAAAGTGTGGAGTGTAAAGTGTGGAGTGTGGAGTGTAAAGTGTGGAGTGTGGAGTGTAAAGCGTGGAGTGGGGACTGTAGAGTGTAAAGTGTAGAATGCGAAGTGTAAAGTGTAGAGTGTGGAGTGTAAAGTGTAGAGTGTGGAGTGTGGAGTGTAGCGTGTAGAGTGTGGAGTGAGGAGTGAGGAGTGTAAAGTGCAAAGTGTGGAGTGTGGAGTGTAAAGTGAGGAGTGTGGAGTGTAAAGTGTGGAGTGAGGAGTGTAAAGTGTAAAGTGTAGAGTGTGGAGTGTAAAGTGTGGAGTGTGGAGTGCGGAGTGTGGAGTGTGGAGTGGAAAGTGTAGAGTGCCGAGTGTAGAATGTAGAATGTAAAATGTAAAGTGCGAAGTGTAGAGTGTAAAGTGTAGAGTGTGGAGTGTAAAGTGTAGAGTGTCGAGTGTGGAGTGAGGAGTGTAAAGTGTAAAGTGCGGAGTGTGGAGTGTAAAGTGTAGAGTGTGGAGTGTGGAGTGTGGAGTGGAAAGTGTAGAGTGTGGAGTGTGGAGTGAGGGGTGTGGAGTGTGGAGTGTGGAGTGTGGAGTGGGAAGTGTGGAGTGTAAAGTGAGGAGTGTGGAGTGTAAAGTGAGGAGTGTGGAGTGTAAAGTGAGGAGTGTGGAGTGTAAAGTGAGGAGTGTAAAGTGTAGAGTCTGGAGTGCAAAGTGTGGAGTGTGGAGTGCGGAGTGTGGAGGGTAAAGTGTAGAGTGTGGAGTGTGGAGTGTAAAGTGAGGAGTGTGGAGTGTAGAGTGTGGAGTGTGGGGTGTAAACTGTGGAGTGTGGAGTGTAAAGTGTAGAGTGTGGAGTGTGGCGTGTGGAGTGTGGAGTGCGGAGTGTAAAGTGAGGAGTGTGGAGTGTAGAGTGTAGAGTGTAGAGTGTGGAGTGAGGAGTGAGGAGTTTAAAGTGTAAAGTGTAGAGCGCTGAGTGTGGAGTGTGGAGTGTAAAGTGTGGAGTGTGAAGTGTAAAGTGTGGAGTGTAAAGTGTGGAGTGTGGAGTGCAACGTGTAGAGTGTGGAGTGTGGAGTGTGGAGTGGGGAGTGGAAAGTGTAGAGTGTGGAGTGTGAGTGGGGGATGTGGAGTGTAGAGTGTGGAGGGAGGAGTGAGGAGTTTAATAAAGTGTAATGTGTAGAGTGCGGAGTGTGGAGTGTGGAATGTGGAGTGTAAAGTGAGGAGTGTGGAGTGTAAAGTGTGGAGTGTGGAGTGCAAAGTGTAAAGTGTAAAGTGTGGAGTGTGGAGTGTGGAGGGTAAAGTGTAGAGTGTGGAGTGTGGAGTGGAAAGTCTAGTTTGTGGAGTGTAGAGTGTGGAGTGTAAAATGTAAAAAGTGTGGAGTGTGGGGTGTAAAGTGTAGAGTGTGGAGTGTAGAGTGTGGAGTGTGGAGTGTAAAGTGAGGAGTGTGGAGTGAGGAGTGCGGAGCTTTCCCCATAGACACGGCGACGCCACAGGAAATCCAACGACTCGAGACGAGACACGTGGATGCAGAAAAACGAGCATTTCGTACGAGACTTCCTCCAATTTTGACATTTTCGACACGTTATCAAACACGTTGGAATGTCCCAAAGTGCCACGCCTGCCACGCAAAACGACATGACAAGCTGCTTGGAAACCTTCGAAAAGGAGAGGTTTTGCGGCTTCCCCCATAGACACGGCGAAGCCACAGGAAAACAGAGACTCGAGACAAGACACGTGGATGCAGAAAAACGAGCATTTCGTACGAGACTTCCTCCAATTTTGACATTTTCGACACGTTATCAAACACGTTGGAATGTCACAAAGTGCCACGCCTGCCACGCAAAACGACATGACAAGCTGCTTGGAAACCTTCGAAAAGGAGAGGGTTTGCGGCTTCCCCCATAGACACGGCGAAGCCACAGGAAAACCAGAGACTCGAGACAAGACACGTGGATGCAGAAAAATCAGCATTTCGTACGAGACTTCCTCCAATTTTCATAGTTTGAAACATGCCGCAAGAACATGTTTTCCAGCTTCCCCCATAGACACGGCGAGGCCACAGGGAAACCAGAGACTCGAGACGAGACACGTGGGAGCACCAAAACGAGCATTTCGTGCGAGACTTCCTCCAATTTTCACACTTTGTAGCTTCAAAATCGACGTTTTCCTACGAGTTTTCCTTAGAACCTGAAAATTTGCAACCTCAAAATCGATGTTTCGTGCGAGGCTTCCGTCAATTTTCACCACATCGCACAAAATGCCACGCCTGCCACGGAATTTGCACATTGTCGCCACTTGACGCAGCCCTGCCAATGCGATTTACAAAAAACACGCAACACGACACGTCTAAAGTGCTGCGCCTGCCACGAAAAATGACGATGGACACGTCCAAAGTGCTGCGCCTGCCACGAAAACTGCAACACATCTTCTGAAAACGTCGCAAAAGTATTGCGCCTGCCACGCAAAACGACTTTCGACACGTTCCAGAACACGTCTGAATGTCACGAAGTGCCACGCCTGCCACGCGAAACGAAGCAACGACACGTCTGAAACCTCCAAAAATGACCACCTCTGCAGAACTTACCATAGGCACGGCCATATGGTCCTCACGCGGACGGTTGCGAACGGTTGCGGACGGTTGCGGACGGTTGCGGACGGTTGCGAACGGTTGCGGACGCGGACGCAACGTCGAGCGAACACACTCCAACCCCCAGACCCCCAGAGTGAAACGGGAACCCTTGCTACGCATTCGGGAAAAAATAACATCAAACAATAAGAAGAGAGAGAATCCACAACACTTCACACATTGTTGATATCAAAAGGCAAGCTAACTTAAATTCACCATTAAGTCCCATTCAAGGATGCACCTTCGTTTGGGTGTGTACGTTTTTTTCTTGTGCCCAAAATGTCAATACTTGTCAATACCTCATGGATTCTCATCATTTTCCCATGAAATTGGGTGGGTGACCGGGTGACCCTCTTGTAATCAAACATTACCATGTCAAAATCTTCATTTATAGCTGATTTCTCCATTCAAACCTCCATTGATGCTGCCACATCGCCATGACGGGTCCCACCTTTTCGGCCTTGAGGTGAGTCACTTCTGCAAGGGCCGCTGCGAGTTGCCCCTGGGCCCCATGGCAGCGGTTGGGGATGGTTGACTGTTCTACGACGGTGTGGTGATCCCAACGACGGTGTCTGAAGAAGGTGAAATCGATGATGATCTCTTCGATCTCTTCCCGGATTTGCCAATTGTTGTGTTTCCTCTTTGGGTTGAATCTAGCGGTCTGATGAGGTACATCCAATGGATTTGAAAATATGATGTCCCATGAAAATTGCTGATAGGGGCGTCCCAATGGATGGAAGCCGTTGCCACACTTGAAAGCACCAACCAGTTGTGGCACTGCAGTCCGTTTGTCGACTTTGAACCCCCGATCTTTTAATGGAGATTTGAAACGACCAAAGAGCTGTTGGCTCATGGCTGTTTGATGATTTCCCAGGTTTTGCTGATGATATCATGACATCGCCATTTTTTTATGAGCATTTGCCACCATCCACCAGAGCTGAATGATTATCAAAGGTGCCTGCGAAAACTCTTGTTGGGTCTATCCAAAAGTAATGGTGCAATCCCCTTCATAAACCTTCTATCACCCATTTCTGGTAAATTTGGAGATGGTCTATTGTCGATTTACAAAAATTAAGAGGACCCCCAAATCTAGGCAATCAAAGGGTGGAAAATCGGCATCCGCAATGTTTGGAAAAGTCCGCTGCGGCCTCAACTTCGACAAGCTGGCGCTGCAACTTTGGAACCTGCACCCAGGTACCCAGGTCAAGCGTGTTTTCATGCTGGCCTTCCCCCTACTTCTTGCAGATACATTCCCTGATTAACGCCAAAAAAATAGATGGATTTTTGTCAAATTTCAAAGAAATCTTCAGGAAAATCTAGCTGTGTTGATTTTAAATAGGGATTCCCAGTTCATGGATCATGATCATGCGTAACTATAGGGGGTAGTTTGGTTTCCGTCCTCGCTGTGGTGTTCGCAACGTTCACCCCGGCCTCTTCTTGGGAGTTCTGGAGCTCCGCCACCTCCACTTTGTTTTGTTCCTGCGGAAACCAGGAGCCATGGGAAGGCAACAGTTGTCCAGCTCCAGATGCCATGCTCTCTCACATCCAAAACAGAGTTGTTGACGTTTACAGTGCCGGGCCAAAATTCCCAAGAACAACAACAACAACAACAACAACGCCCGCTCGGGCTGACGGGTCTGCTTTTGCCGGCGCCCGGCTGTCAGGCGTAAGCCTCATAATCCGGGCGCCGGCACCGGGCCGCAGCCCGTGTCCTTGCCGGAGGCCTTCGGTGGTAACCGAAGGTTATATACGGCTGCCGCCCCTGCCGCCGACCGGCTCTGCCCGATTCCGGTTCACGGTTGCTCGATTCCGCCCCACGATTATCGTTGTAATTTACAGTGTATTCTGCGTGTGGTGTTCCAAAAACATCGTTTTTTACAGGGTTTTGTGGCCTTCGCCGTCTCCAGGTTTCGTCTTGGCGACGTTTAAAACCATGGGTTTTTCATGGTTTTGGGTCTTCGGAAGGGGTCCGGAACGGAAAACTGGACATCTTGCCGGCCTTGGTGCCAACATAGGGCCAACATCGGCCAAGATGTGGGCTACATGGGTCAACATAAGGCTAAGATAGGGGCAAGCCTGCGCCAACATAGGGCCAACATCGGCCAAGCTGTGGGGTACATGGGCCGACATAAGGGCTACATGGGTCAACATAAGGCTAAGATAGGGGCAAGCCTGCGCCAACATAGGGCCAACATCGGCCAAGATGTGGGCTCCATGGGCCGACATAAGGCCAAGATAGGGACTCCATAGGCCAAGATAGGGCCAACATCGGCCAAGATGTGGGCTACCTGGGTCGACATTACGCCAAGATGTGGGCTACATGGGCCAACCTAGGGCCAAGACAGGGGCAAACCTGCGCCCAAGGGCCAACATCGGCCAACAACAACAACAACAACAACAAAAACAAAAAACAAGGGCGACAACGACAACCACAACAACAACAACAACCACCACCACCACAACAACAACAACAACAACCACAACAACAACAACAACCACAACAACAACAACAACAACCTAGGGCCAAGACAGGGGCAAACCTGCGCCCAAATAGGGCCAACATCGGCCACCACCAACAACAACAACAACAAAAAAAAACACAACGACGACCACGACAACAACTACAACAACAACAAGAACAACGACGACAACGACAACAACAAGAACAACAACACCAACGACGACGACGACGACGCCGACGCCGACGACGACGACGACGACGCCGACGCCGACGACGACGACGACGACGACGACCCGGAACGGAAAACTGGACATCTTGACGGCCTTGGTGTCAACATAGGGCCAACATCGGCCAAGATGTGGGCTACATGGGTCAACCTAAGGCTAAGATAGGGGCAAGCCTGCGCCAACATAGGGCCAACATCGGCCAAGCTGTGGGGTACATGGGCCGACATAAGGGCTACATGGGTCAACATAAGGCTAAGATAGGGGCAAGCCTGCGCCAACATAGGGCCAACATCGGCCAAGATGTGGGCTACATGGGCCGACCTAAGGCCAAGATAGGGACTACATAGGCCAAGATAGGGCCAACATCGGCCAAGATGTGGGCTACCTGGGTCGACATTGCGCCAAGATGTGGGCTACATGGGCCAACCTAGGGCCAAGACAGGGGCAAACCTGCGCCCAAATAGGGCCAACATCGGCCAACAACAACAACAACAACAACAGGCTAAGATGGGGGCTACGATGCGCCAACATAGTTTTGCCGGCGCCCGGCTGTCAGGCGTAAGACTCATAAATAATATAATATAATGTACTTTAATTCAATATAGTATAATTTTATATAATATAATTTAGTAATGTAATATATTATCATATAATCTAAAATAAAAAATAAATATATATATATGTAATATAATTCAATATAACAAAATATAATATAATAAAATATAAAATAATAAAATATAATAATATAATATAATATAATATAATATAATATAGTCATTTATATATACACATACATATGCCGACCCTACATCATTGCTAAGTACAATGAAATCGCTTCACGCCCACCGATAGTTTGACAGAGAACCAGCTTCCAACAGGTGTGAGAAGTTTCCATTTGGATTTTAGTGTCTGGCAGGCATGTTTCATCTTTGCTGTTGAAGGGTGGTAAAACTTGAAGATCTTTCGTTGGCTTTCCTTCCACTGGGAAACGATAGGAAAGGATCAGGGTTCAGATAAGGGGGGAGGAGTTGTGCAGATGGTTTTGGTAGATACAAAGCGGAGTGCATAGGGTGCACAACTACAAAATGCAGTGCATGTTGCTTTTTTTGCAGCTACAAAATCAAGAACATAACCCTTTCTGGCTCGGAAAATAATTCAAAATCAGTACTACAAAATCCAATGCATCTGAAGTTAAAAAATAGCTGAACGTCGGACTTGCTGACATGATTTTTCCCAATGACATTTTGTAGTTGAGTCTTTGCCATCCAAAGTTCCGACCAACATAAATTCGGAGAACATTTTGTAGTTGTCAATGATTGAATTTAGTTGGATCAAGTGTTGACCCCGTGCAGTTTGTTGGATGGCATTCTGTAGCTTCATGATCTGTGTGTGTCCATGTACATGTCACGCACTGTTTCCTTTTTTCCACCTCTTCTCACCTCTTCCAATGCAAAATGCAAACGAGATTTATGTTGGATGCTTCAACTATTCAACTTGTACAACTACAAAATCATAATGAGATTTTATGTTGGATGCTTCAACTAACTCAACATATACAACTACAAAATGAAAATGGTGATTTGAAAGGAATCAACTACAAAATGATTCCAAATACAAAATGGGGGGCACAACCCTCCTGTTTGTACAAAAAAATCCTGGCTGGCAATCTGTACTGTAGCCCAAGTCCTCCCCATTTCGTAGCTGAAATTTGAAGGTGGATAGGAAAGGTATAACCATTCTCGCTTCTACAACAAGTTCACCCCTCTATCTTGTCGACTGCGACCCGCCCCAATGTGAGAATTTCATCCTTTTCATCGTCATCGCCGACCACTGCCTGGCCCGAGCAGGCGCTCCACCAGAGATTCACATACTATGATGGAAATTCCTTACAATGACCATCTTGAAGAGAAAAATATCACTGCTGTTACATTTCATTTTGTTAAAGATGGCATGCTCTTTCGCAAATTTGCCTCAGTTTACAGTCGTTACAGCTCAGTCCCCATGGAATGTATCGCACCCCACCGCCCGCTTGGGAGCCCGGGCGTCAAAATATGAATTCATCACACGTCGGAAAGTTGCGTTTGAACCGGTTGCTACCAAGTGTGGTGCTGCCAATGGGTGAGAAGCTGATTCAGATTCTGAAGAAAACAACTTGATGACTGATTTGCAATGCGTTCTTTGAGTTGTGCAACATTGTGATCTAGCAAACTTCCAAAAGCATCCAAAAGCATGTTCAGGATCGCGCTTTTCTTTTAGGAACACGTTTGTCACGTTGGCGCTCCTCCCATTCCGCATGCCAAAGTCTATGCGCGCTGTCAAGCAGCTTGGAGGCAGACTTCTGACGTGAGTCAGGGTTCGCTACCCTCTGGTACTCTGACAAGGCAATACAAAATCCCCGTACATCAACAATGTATGTATACAAACTTGAACGTAGACCTGGTGGCAAAAACTGTTTGCGTCTTGATTCCCTCAGTATTTCACAAAACGAGCGTCCCCCTTCTTTCTGATCCAATTGACACGGAAAAGATAATGGCCTTGGAGCTTGTCAGCCCACGGGCCGCATAAGGCTTGGAAGCAGCCTCCCAGGGCAAGCAACACACTAACTCCAGGTGCAAACAAGACCAAGAATCAGTGTAACATGGAACCACTTCATAGGCTAAGCTCCTGATCCCTTCTTTGCGCTTTCCGGATATGTCCAATGAGTCACGGCATGGTCTCCTTTTAATCCTAATTTGATCACTGATGATTGTGGGAATCACTGCCACCTTCTTGGTGCTAATAGCATTTCAGCGACAGGTCCGAACGACAGCACCCGCACCTTGGAAGCCTTCTGAAGCTTCAGCAATAAATTGCGCTACAGGAGGAGAAGCCCTTCTCTCGCTGATGGACAAAGATCTGTCTGTGCACTTGGAAGTAACGCGCACACAAGCCGTAAACTCTTCAATTGGATGCCACACCGGGACCGTCCTGGGCACAAAGCGCACAGCAAACATTCGTTTCCTCAACACTCTTCTGCCGAATGCTCTTGTAGAAAGATCTGAGCACTCTGTCACAATATATCTGATATATCTGTTGAAAGTACTAATATATATATATATATTTACTTATTTATTTATATGATGTGTATATATATATGTATATATGATGTGTATATATATATATGATGTGTATATATATATACCTGAGAAGGGGGGAACAAAAGCCAGCATCCCATCTACCCCTATTTTCCCCCATATACTTTTCACCCACATACTTTTCACCCACATGCTTCTCACCCACATACTTCTCACCCGTATACTGTTCACCCAGAGACTCTTCACCCAGAAACTCTTGCACATACACAGACTTTCACCCACAGACTTTCACCCGTATACTTTTCACCCACATAGTGTTCACCCACATACTTCTCACCCACATATTCTTGCACATACTTTTCACCCACAGACTTTCAAACTAGACGACGGATGGCCCGAGAGCGTAGAGGAGCAGGGTCTTCTGTTGTTAGTATGGAGACACTGTATTGCAAGACAATATATTAAAGATGTAGTATGGGCAGAGGAGAAGAGTAGTATCAAGACATAGCACAAACACAAGACAATAGTTTACATCGTATCTTTCGTATAGTTTCTTCACACACAGAAACTTTTTACAGACAGATGCTTTTGCACACAGAGACTTTTACACACAGACGCTTTTACACAAAGACGCTTTTACACACAGACGCTTTTACACACAGACGCGTTTACACACAGAGGCGTTTACACACATAAGCTTTTACACCAAGAAGCTTGTACACACAGAAGCTTTTACACACAGACGCTTTTACACACACACACACTTTTAAACAAACAAGTTTTTACACACAGACGTTTTTACACACGGAAGCTTTTACACACAGACACTTTTACACACGGAAGCTTTTACGCATAGACACTTTTACATACATAGGCTTTTACACGCAGACGCTTTTGCACGCAAACACTTACAGACGCGTTTACACATAGAAGCTTTCACACACAGAGGCTTTTACACATAGAAGCTTTTACCCACAGAAGCTTTTACACACAGACACTTTTTTTTACACACAGACGACCGAAGAGCGTAGAAGAGAATGTTACTCTCTTGTAAGTAGTATCAAAGACATTGTAGGGGAAAGCTTCATTGAAGATGATGCACATGATCAGCAGAAAGGAGATACACACACAGACGCACAAACAAAGATACAGACACAGACGCACACACTTGGACACACACGGTACACAGACAGACACCACACGCACACACACACACAAACAGAGCACAAAGAGGAAGACACATACACGCACACACACACACAGGCACAGACACACACGCACACAAAGAGGAAGGCACCTACACGCACACACACACAGGCACAGACACACACGCACACAAAGAGGAAGGCACCTACACGCGCACACACACACAGGCACAGACACACACGTCCTCCAAGATCGTGCAAATCTTGAACCAAACAGCTACGATTGATTCGTTGCTCATGCTGCAGTGCGAAGGACAGCATGCAAGAATGAGTCAATGAGTACATGGATTGCTGTCTGATGATGCCACTTGTTGACGATGCGAACTCTGAGCGCTGCACCACTCGTAGCGACCGGGCGGCGGATGCCGTCTTGAGCCCCGATTCATTGGACCCTTTTACACACAGACCTTTTTAATTACACACAAACCCTTTTACGCAACAGACCCTTTTACACACCGACCCTTTTACACACATGCGAATTCTGAGTGCTGCACATGTCGGTCAACTCAACAGACCCTTTTACACACCGCCCCTTTTACACACAAACCCTTTTACACACACAATTTTACACACAGACGCTTTGATGCAAAGACGCTTTTACACACAGAGACTTTTACACAAAGACACTTTTACACACAGAAGCTTTTACACACAGACACTTTTACACACAGAACACTTTTACACACAGACGCTTTGACACACAGAACGCGTTTACACACAAAGACTTTTACACACAAACGCTTTTACACAGAATACTTTTACGCACAGACGCTTTGACACACGGAAGCTTTTACACACAAAGATTTCTACACACATACACTTTTGCACACAGAAGCTTTTACACACAGACGCTTTTACACACAGATGCTTTTACACACACACATACACACACTTGCTCAGAACAGTCATTGCGAATTCTGATGTGGAATGCATCTTACGTGCAAAAAACACTCCAATTAAACCTGGCAGGAATTGGTTGATGACCAGAGGCGAGAAAATTCGAAATGGTTCTCTCCTTACAGATTGTCAAAACCGTACAGGCAGTGAAGTGACATCAAAAATGGTAGAAAAAGTTTGTTGAAATGACGGCAAGGTGGTTCTTGGGTCATCTCAGAAACTTGACATGAAATGAAATTGAAGCAGGTACGTCGATCCAGCGTCCCGGATCGATATCACAGAACGTCATGGCCGTCTTCGTTGACATTCCCTGCAGCCCCCTGCTTGAAATGAAATGTAATAATGCCAACAAAAATCAGGGAAGTTTAACATCTTTTTCCGTGCCAGAAGTAAAATGAAGGAGGACCAGGTAAAATCGGAAGTAGAAGTTTTACATCTTTTCAGATGGTTCACACACACGCCCTGCTGACGCAGGGCTTTTTTTGACACATGGACAGGTTAGTCACGCTCTGATACGGTCAACTGGTAACGGATTATGTAATCAAGAAACAAAGACAAGAGTGAATTACCAATCCCACTCAGGAGTTAACGTGCAGCTCGCGCCCGATCTAGTCGGAGATCTCCGAGATGTCATCCAGTTCATGATTCTGAGCATGTTGGGCAAGAGTCTGCGAAGTAATAGACAAATGGCTGGCAAGGTGGACCAGGTCGATTGCCGAGAAAAGCTGGATGGGATTGGCATTTGGATCTGCGGGAGGAGTTTCGAGCTTCTCAATGATCGGTGCATTATATTCCCTGTCAGACAGGAGAAAATTGTGAAGCAGAGATGCCAATTGGTGGACCTGACTTGGAATCGGCACATTGCCTGTTTCAACTGTCACTGAAGTGTCGTCTTCCATTTTGGATTCTGGCTCTTCCCCATAGGTTCCAGCGGTGCTGCCCGAATTGTCATACGATCGTTGGCGATCTTGCCACGATGAGGACTGCCTTGGCCTGACTGGGGAGGCGGAATAACCTCTTTGAAGATGTGAGTGTGGAGCACCCGATGGTTCTGTGACAGCTCCGATTGTAACGGATATGCTTCCATCGGAGGGCCTGGTGGATTGACAGGTGGTAGAGGAACTGAAGGGACCAGGGCAGTATAGCCAAATTGGTGGGCTTCGACTGTCATTCCTGTTTGATCAGGTCTTTGATGGGGGACCGTTTCGTATGCCCAGGACAACATTGCAATTGACGATGAAGAAGCAGCATTTTAAAGAAGCAGCGCCGCTTCCATGTTGAGCAGAATGACGGCGTGGGAAGCTCATGAGATTGCGGGGGGATTCTAAATCGGCAAATGAGGAATCCCGTTTAGTCATGATCCAGGCCTAAGCCACATGGAGACAAACAAAGACAAAAGGACATGAAAGAAGAAGCAAGAGATCAAAAGAAAAAGAATTTGAGACAAGAAGATGCACACAGCAAGTCGGTCATTTTTCACGACAATGAGTCACGGCAGCATGTTAGGGTTAGGAAGTGCCTGATGGCAACTCATGCGCATAATGTACGGTTGACTTGGGTTGTCGAAGTCTTTGATCGTATTAAGGATTCCGAATTCTTGGCCTTCAGTCCAATGAGGACGGTGTTCACAGAACAGATCAATGAGGAGTTGATGGTTGCGAAGCGCAAAGGTATCTCCTGCACAGTCAGACCAACGAAGGTCCATAGAGGAAGGTTCCAAATAGAAGCCCCAGGTGTTGTTGATATGCTGACTGATGTAGTAGAGGATGGTGTCAACAGTGAGAATCTGAGTCTGGGCTGGGGTTACCAAGAAGCTGTATGTGAACAGTGCGTACTGTTCAAGTCTGCCAAGTGAAGGCAAAGCGTCACAGGTGGTCGCCTGCATGACATCACTTTGACGTGCAGACATAAGATGTTGGACCTGTTCTAGGTCGATGATGACCAAAACCCGTCTAGTGTGACGGAGCAATGGGGTGTACAGTAGTTCCACGATTCGTGATGACGTGGATTGCGACGTCGGTCTGGAGTCGGGTGGCTCCACATGGGCGAATCATCCCGAGAACGGGAACGATCAGGGGGCAAAGATACGTAACTAGATGGGTGAGCCATAACAATGACTTGACAAAGACAAGTCAGTGGGGAAAAAACGAAAAAGTGAAAGAAAAGGAAGAAATGAACAACATGAATAATAAGAACAGATCAACAGATCCAAGAAGCAGCGAGAGGAAGCTGCATCTTTTTCCCCGCAGTCGTTTAGTCCTCTGCCTCCGGTTCGTGCCGAGGCGTTTCCGTGCCATGTTGGTCGGACATTTGCTTCAAGATGTTCCAGCGGATTTTGCATATCTGTGGATCACGTCGTAGTCTGGCACCGATCGACTTCCACGACGGGCGTGATTTACTGTTTTTGAGATTGATCAATTCTTGGTCATCAGTTCCTGTCCAAGGTCGGATAGTCGAATGAGGGGTGCCCCGATCAGATTCTGTGGGTTGAAGGATTCGAATGGTAGGTTGGGTGGAGGGCCTTTTGGAATGGCGGTTGGAGTTGAATTTCCTGGAGTTGGTGAAATTGGGCGGTCAGCTGGTGTGGTGGAAGAGATGGTCGGGGGGGCGGCATCCACTGCTGACGTAATATGAACTGAGTGGGCTCTAGAGGCCACTTCTTCATTTGAATCATCTGAATTGAAGCTTGCATGAGGAACATCTTCAATAATCGGTAAAGAGATGGGTTGGAATGACGACGAATGTACCATAATGTCTCCCGAGCGTTGTTTCTTTTTCGGTTGTGGATCAT